AAGCACACACACTTCTCTCTCTCTCTCAATATATATATATATATATAAACACTACGAGACTGTCCAGATTGAGGAGGTCTGTCTCCAATACGAGACAGGTGAAGGAGTGGAATCTGGCTTGCGTAGTTCCCCTTTTACGTGCCAACAACAACCGGCCGCATACAACGCATACTTCTGGACAGCTACGAGGTGGAAAAAGCTGCATCGAAGAAAAACGTGGTCTCAGAAGGCGAGTGCCCTTCTCGTTTTACTTACCGATCCCTTGTCGCCTGCGCGGCTACTTTGGGGGGCAGCGCGAAGCACCTGCTGTCCGCGTACCTCCAACGGACCCGAATCCGACGGCCCCCACCCCCGACGAGCAAAGAAGCCATTACGAAAGGCTGTGCTCTTGTACGTCTTTCCTGAATAACGATGCACACCACAACCATGCCAACACGCATGTGCAGGTGATATACCCTCTCGATTCTCCCCTCTCCGACAAGCACATGCGATTTCGTGTACGTCTCGCAGATGCCGTACACTGATGTACCATCGCTTCGCCCGTGTTGTGTCGTCCGCAAAGTGCATGGTTACGGTGAGCCGTGCAACGTTGGTGATGTGGAGAGTCTCTTCTCGCTATGTACCTCTAAAAAACTCGTAGGCAGTACTCGGGCTGACTTCTGAGTCGTCAAGCTCCTTCGCACCTCTTGCTAACCGATAGCCATCTGATGAACAAAGGAGGAGGATTCATACAATCAAATTTCACGAGTTGATGTTGGACATATGACTTCATTATGCCTCCACCATACGCAAGGAAGCCGCCTTTTTCGCTAGAGTTCCACCGTAGCGTGGGGAGATAACTACAGCGGAAATGTGTGCGCAGCATCGGATGTAGAGGTATAGCAAAGGCTCCCAGTAATGCACGCAATGCCCTGCTAGAAGACCTGCAAGGATTATAGAAGAAAAAGCGGTTGCCTCACCTCTGTCAAATGCCTCTTGAGATGAATTGTCATGGATTATGTGAGAACCTGGGTCTGGGGTGTATTCGTATACCTCCTTCCCACCCGTTCCGTTAGTGCCCATCAGCAGCTCCACACCTTTCGAAGGATCCGCTGAAGTGTTATCGTTCATCCTCATGCGGTATGGCCAATACTTGACGGTAAGTGGGTTTCCGTAGGTTTATGCAACGGCTGGTACCCCGGCTTGTCGTGCGACCGGCACCCTTAAGTGCAACTCTGTAGGTGTCGTGGGTGGTTGCGCGTGTCCTAGCAGCACACTCCTGACAAGTTCACCCAGGCCAGGCAAGGCGCCCTGGCATGCTAGTCTCACGTGCACCTCAACACAGGTAACAGACTGCATGCGGCTGTGCGAACGGATGCCTGGCACAGACACTGGACGCAGCTGCATCTACGAAGAACCTCCTCCGGGGAGACGGCTGCCAGCACCTAATGGCTCACACTTCTCCTGCGAAGTCCTTCATGCCGCAACGAGCAGTGGAGCCCGTACGGCCGCCTGTTGCAATATGCACCAGCCAACCCGCTACGCCGTCCTTGTTCTGGGTGTTGGAAAGCGAAATAAATATAAATGCTAGTGAGACAATTACCGGAATCCTATCAATAATATCGGTGAACGCCGAGAAACCGTACACGAAATGCTCGGTCACAGCGTCGCGTGTCAATGACGTGACCGGCACGAAGAGGGAGCACCAATAGCCTCGGCAGTGAGCCCACCTCAAGATGCGAAATAAGAAGAAAATATGTTAATGCAAAAGCTGTAAGGAGAGACTGCGCCAAGAAAGCAACTGATTGCTGAGGGACTTCAAGCCCCCGACAGACCGAGTGGCCGGGACGGAGCTGTATATGTCTGCTCTAAGGGATGGTATTTCCCATTCACTACGAAGCCTAAGAAAAGATCCAATTGTTTCATCAACCATCCTGTAACCAGCTGGTATACAGGTATTTGAGGGTGGATGCTTGTTTCAGTTCTCTTCCCTTTTGTGATGGCCAACTCGCGAGCACTAGGCGGAAACATCCTTGCTCGCGAAACCTAGAATCTTCACATGGTCAGTCATGCTATCCAACGCAAATGCAGCAGAAACAAATTCTAGGGGAAAACCCCGCTAAACAGGAGTGGAAAAGCCTCCTGTTCCCGTGACGAAATCCAGCAGTTACAGGACGGCCCAGTGGGCAACGACGGGGACAAACACATGTTCAGGTCTACGTTGTATTTGTGTTTACTCCTATGAAGCAGTGTTACTCAAGATGTGCTTTGTGCCCGCCACACACAGTGTCCACACACTCATCGACTCCAAACACACCAATATTATTATTATTATCTAGTTAAGGACGGTGGGACGGTTTTACTAGCTAGGACGAGACTTTCTGCTCTTATGGACAGAAGTGCTCATGCGAAGTGTGTACTTGCTTACCGACTCCGTTCAAGAGCTGCCCCCACTAGGCAAACGATCTGCATATATCCATGAGGATGCATGCGTCCCATACGGTAGTACACCCAAGGCACATTCACCGGCAAACCATGTAGCGGATGGTGTTTGACAGAGTACTCGGTCCCCCATGACGCAAACCTAAGCTAGTTTTAAGCATGTGCACTGTGCGTGTAACGCTCCCTTGGCCTCGGGAGCAATGCTGCAAAAAGCCCCAAAACGCTAGCTACACCATATATGGGAAAAATGATGGGTTTTAAGCGTCGAAAAGCGCATTACTACTCCATTAGAGCTCACTGAGGCTCAAGAGATTTATCTTCATCTGTGGTGCACACATGTCCTGCTGCAAGAGAATGCCAGTTTCTAGGTGGAAGAATGAATGGCAGCGGGGACCAGGATTGGAGTACGGCTCAAAATCATGGACCTTGCATATTATTAATGGCACAGCTCGGAGCCTGGCAACCAATCAGTAAGCCATTCCAGCGTGCGTTGCAGGGTGAAATGCTGACGTGAAAAGCCTATCTGTTCCATCGGCAACTTCCGGCCTGGCCTGAGCATCATTGTATGTCTCGGCAAATTTATGTGCAAAGCATCTAGTGAAAATTTTGGCTGACCGTTAGAGCGTGTCGTGTGCTACAACGAATGTAGCACTTGCAGTCGACGGTAGAGCACCACCGAAGTGGCGTACCTGTAGGACAGTCAATCGAATTCGCCAAGCTTAGGTGTACAAGTCAACAGGGCGCCACTCGACTTTCTGAGCTATTGCTGCTGTAGCCAAAGATTAGCCGGACTGTGAACACTGCCGCTGTTCTAGCGTACGAAATTCCCCCGGTGTTCATGATGTGGAATACGGAAGAAAAAGTTCAGTGCTGTGAAACCCTATACATGTGGGCCGCCAGCGGCACTACCGTCGTGGCAACCCTGCGGAGGCCTATGGACCGCCTCTCCCGAACTGGGAAGACGCAAAAGTCCTTTGCATCGGCCAGCCCCTGTGCTCCTCCCCATGCACAGTTTGCGCAAGCTGCTAATGGAGCACAGTTCCGCAACTCCGTTAGTTACCCGGGTCTCGAGATATGTCGTAATCCCGCTAGCGGTGGAGGAAAATGAAGGTACCATCCGTTCACTTACAAAAGTCACGACCTGAAATCCCGCAAGCTCGTTAGTACCCTCCACTAGTAGCATTTCCGCTGAACGACCGCTGGCCCATGTTCTTCATATTCCTCGCGGCTGCACCATGCAGCCTGGAAGGAACTAAGACTTGCAAGCATCGAGCCTCCAACCCACGTTGAAAACCGACGTTCTTGTGCCCCAGGCACCGCAAGGAGCCTAACCTTCTGGCCTCCACAAACTGCGGGATCGTCCACCAATTCGCGGTTAACTCTCTCTACCATTCCTGCAGGTGCATGAACACACAATTCTGGTACCGTCGTGGTTTTGCACTTACAGTCAGATGGTTGAGCGTGAGCCACAAAAGCGGGAAAATTTTGTTCTTTTGGACCCTCCAGAGCATGCGTACTCCAGCCGCCACATCACAAGGCTTCAGGCACAATGTACCTCCAATGCTCCGGTTATCAAGGGGGGTTGGAGCAGCGCAGGCAGCACCAACAACACGGAGACGTGTATAAAGACGCACCCGGGATACAGGAGCAGCCTCCTGTGAGAACCAATGCACTAAGAATGTCACGATTGCCGTCCGCCTCAACTGCCTCAACCACCTGTCGCACTGCCTCCGGAAGACCCGGGAAGCCACCACCGCCACCCGGCACTAATGAAAGGAATGCGGGATAGAACAAAATCTCGGGAATCTGCAGCATACCACAAAAAAATAGAGTGGTGGTTGAATGGGTGACAACACTGGCCACAGCCGTGCTCCTACCCCGCTTGAACACGAGCACTAAACATGAATTAGGCAACGCAGGAGCTCTACGAAGTGATCAGTGCAAATATCTCGTTCCTAGTGCAACCCGAAAAGGTTGCACTGGATGACCTGCCTTCATGGCTACTTGATCTGCCTCAAGACGTGTACCGTCCGGAAGCTCCATGAGGCCTCCTTCACTGCCACCGCCGCTTGAGAGCAACGCCGCAGCGGATGCTGCTGTCGAAAACGGAAATAGGAGCTGGGATGTGGCGGGGCAATCTGGGGAAACAGCTGCACCACCTCCACGTCTCTTTGCTTGATGTTGCTGACTTGGTAGTAGAATAGGCTTCCTCGCAATGGTAACATCCCGCGGGTCGTCTGCAACGCGGCATAACCCCTCCTTTAGAAACGATAAAGTTTGCATGCGGCTGCACACGAGCAGAAAAAAACAAACCCATTGCCAAAATGTGACAGATAGCCTCCCAAATGTGTCGGTCAGTACAAGCAAAGCGGAAAAGTAATCAGGTCTGACTTTGGTGCCCACGCAACTACGGCCATGATGCTGCTGAAGGCACTGGGTAAAGCGGCGGGGAAAGCAGAGGCAGATGCGCACAATGTGCCCCAAAGTTACTCACCAACCCGCCATATCGGCAGTGCCAAAACATCGCAACAGCGCTAAAGTCGGCCTGTGTATTTCTTGGTAAATGGCTCACCTCCAGTGCATGTAGGAAGAGTGAACATTGTCCCAATCCCCAGGCTTGTCTATTGCAGTTTTCGACATCCGACCTTGTGCAGAAAAGCGGGCAAAGCTGGGATGTACAGGGAGGTTGTGCCCCATGAGGATAGAGCCAAGTAACTGGCTCATTGCATCCCCACCCACCGGCCACTCTGTAACATGTTGGTCTAAGACGAATGAATCAGAAACTGGCGCAATTGATAGACCAGAAGCCCCCACGTCGATTACCATTGCACTACTCCTCCCCAAAGCAACACAAGACAATAGCGCTCGTTTAGCCGTGTACAGAGATCCTACTTGCAGTCCTTCAAAGAGTATCTCAGCCATCTTTTCCCTGATGCCGCGGCAATGTATGTTTGGCTCGGAAAGGAGTAGTGGCTGCTCCCGCAAGTCTGCCCCGACACCACACAACTCCGTCAGGCGCAAGTTGCTGCGACATATAGCTCTTGAATCATTGGACCCTGAACAATCCAGCGTCGTGGCCCCTTCGCTTGAGCTGATACGAGCAGACCGTGCTCCTGTACAGCTGAGGGCTACAAGGTTCTCAAACGCCTCTTCGTTCAGAGTGTATGTGGGGCTTGAGTCGCCCTTCCTCTTCCCACTAGGACCTCGCCAGGTTGGAAAGAGCGCAGGCACAACTTCAACTCCGTCACGTCTCTCTGAGAAGTTGAGGGGGAATATCAGTTCGCGGACTGTGGCGTTTTCGTTGCCGCCAGATGCATTTGAATCCCCTGCGAAGCTGCTACGTTGGCGTACTCCAATGCACGAGTTCAGCAGCTGACAGGGATTCCCCTCACCCGCATATCCCACGCGAGTACTTGCCGCCCCAATGTCTACTACAACGCTCGACGACGCCAATTCCATTCTTCGTAAACGTTAGAGGCGTGATTAAGTAAAGTCAAGTTAAGTAAAGGCAAGCAAAGAATATGCAGGTAAAGAATATGCCCCTTGGGCACAATGTGGAACGAGGAAGACAGAGTCGACCGTCCCTTTGAAATCGCACCGAATTTGTCCCGTTCTCGCAAAACAACTCTGTTATGGATGCTTTGCGGTGAGGCTGGTACTGTTGGCTGTTGTCTCCGTCCCTATAATCAATCCTAGTTGCCTGTTGCCAACCCCTTCCTTTTCTTGGCAGAAACGAGAACTGAAACGCAGTGGATTAGACAGAATGTGCCTTTCCTTCAGGTGGAATTCCTCGCCCCACTAATCCAGCACGGCGTGATCTGCAAGGGATTTACCGCCACGCCTGCGTCTGCCAAGACAACTATATGGCTGCTCTCGCCGTCTCCTGTGCAAAAAATGCTGTTAAGTTACATTTAGTGCGGAAATACAACTTCTTTTTATCCGCTTGGAGGCCCACCAAGAAAGTTGCCACAACGCCGACTGGCAGATCATAGCTGCTCGACAGTACTCGGCGCCTCTGAGTTCGTTAACAAGCATAGACTAAACACAACGCATTTATATATTCCACTTGTTTGTGTGTTTCCATTGTTTTTCCCTCGTGAAGTGTGCGGGTCCCGAACCAACGCATGCGCACTCATTGCTCGCAGAGTATCCATCAGGGCTGGGCGCTCCGAACTTTTCCTATGAACCCTACACATTATTAGGCTTCAGAGTATCGATACTTCCCTTATTCACCTACAATTTAGACCCTCTAAAGTTTTGCCACTATACAAAAGCAGGTTTTGGGCGCCGGAGGCTGCGTTTCTTCGCTTTCTTGACTTGACCCATTTAAAGAAGCATCCTGCACGTTGAAATATCCACTTACGGATTGGCTTAGTGCTCCGCCTGTTCGTGAAGATTCGGAGGACTGTGATTCTGATGACTTCGTTCTTCCTGAGCAGAGTAAGAAGACGCTTAGCTTCGCCGGGTCCCTCCATGCTGATCAACTGCGAAGCAATCGTACTAAATATCCTCAACTTTGTTTGCTTGCCCTTGTGGATGCGTAGCGCACAGAAAGTTCGGAGGTTGGTTCGTAGAACTTAACGCGGGGGGGCTCAGAACTTCAGCAGGAATACTTGCCGAATCGCTTCTTCGTGGGACAACCCTCCAGAGCTTAAGTAGCAGCTCACGCCCAAACCCGACTTACAGGCATGGGTTTTCCCAGTGAAGGCAGCAGTGACGATGGAAAACGTAGCAGCAAGAGCAGCAAAAAACGAAAGGCCAAGAAGGAGAAGAAATCTTCAAGAAAGAAAAAACGCGACGAGCACTCAGCAAGCGACGAGGAGAGCCGCTTCCAACTTGTGGGCAGTGTTACACCACTGTTGAGTTCTTGCTGTTCAAGTCAGCAGTTAGTGAACTACGCGCTCTGCAGCTCATAACTGCGTGCGTCAGGCTACCTTCAGAAAAGTTGGTTGGATGTATCCCGTTGTACTGCGCAATGAGTGCTGTTGAGATGTGTGCCTCTGATACCCTTCAGGAACAGATCGATCAGGCAGATGTAGATCGCCTTCTTATCTCTTTGCTGCAGCTTTCTCCGCAGATGGAGCCAGAGGTGAGGGTTGTGCATCGAGTTGCAGTGTACGCGAAAGTTTCTCGGCTGGCCTGCTTACAACACTGTAGCCAGGTATTTGTCTTGGAACTCGGCTGAGCGTGTTTGTTCCCGTGGGTTCAGCTTTTGGACGTATTTAAACAGCTGGATTCATGGGGAATCGTCTATTTGAATGACCTCGGTGATATCCGGTTGCGAAAGAAGCTTCGGCACCTTTTCCGGGCACTGTTCGTTGGCGAGGTGCGGCCTCCCGAGGTTCCCGCTTGTGACAAGTGTCGCACGCACATATTCTGTACTGAATTTTCCTTTACCTCAACATACCCAACGATTCGTTTGCTAATGTACTCAGCGCAATCTAGCCGTCGGTGACCAAGAGTTTTCCGAGCAGCACTTTGCAGCACTTCGCCTCAGCCGCAAGGGTCATTACCGCATGCTTTTAATGATGTTTCTCAGGTTGAGGGTGAGCAAGGCAAAGGTTGGAGGAAGATGCTTACCTGTAAAATGTCGCTCTCCAAGTTAGTGAAGCGCCGATGCAAGGAGCTACGCCCACAGCTTGAGGTGTCAAATCCTCCGGCGGACATTGGACCTGTTGAAACCTCCGAGGTGAAGGAGGAACGACTCTTTGAAGAATTAAGGTTCGACGCCGAGGCGGCGGAACGGAAGGCAGAAGAAGCTGTACAGCGCTGGCGCGCGGAACATGCCGGGCTTCAGGAACTTTCAACCGAGTCCGTTTCTGAGGGACCATCTGAAGTGCAGCAGGCGCCTTCGGAAGTGAAGTCTGGCGTAAGTATTATTAGTTCGAATGAAGACGCTTTAATCTGTTCACGGGTGCTCTTTTCTGGGGTGTGCTCGTACGTATGTGCCTCCTGTGAAATTGTTCACGGTTGAACAAGTGCCCTGCACCCAGTAAAAGGCGTTGTTGGGCGTGGAAGTGAGCTGGTGCAAGCGGTAGGGGGACGTTTGCTGTTTGTTGTGGCAGAGAGAGGAATGGATGCTTGAAGCTCCCGCCTATCTACGTTGTCTGGCAACAAAAGAAGGGCCTGATGCAAAGAGGATGCGTAAGGAATTTGCTGAGAGACGTTTTCCAGAGTGCACGTCGCCTTCACAATTCCTGCAGCCTTGGTGGGCGCTTATGGTTGTTCTTAATTGAGCTCGGCGGCTCATGGAGATGTGAGTTGCGGTGGTCGGACTCGGTGCAGAAATCTTGCAGCAGAAGAAGAAGGATGATGAGGAGGCTGTACGTGTCAGAGCGATCATGGAAGAGTGGAACAAAGCACGAAAGGCTAAGAGTCTTCGGGAACTTAAGGAAGAAGGTTAGTCGCAGGCACACTCGTCTGCAAAAGAAGGCTCTGCCGCCTTACCACCCATAAAAGCCAAGCTGCGCTACCAGTCACTGCGCATGTTTGTAAAAGGACGTGCATTGTCACACAAGAGAAAATTGTGCTCTGCGTTTTCCGTTTGGCAAACAGGCGAGTTTGCAGATGGTGAAGAAGCGTATAAACGCTGGAAACGAAACATGGAGGCGGCTCGAAACCTCTGGGGAAAGCGAGCGGCAGAACAGACTGCTGAACAGGATTTCGTGAGTTCGCAAAACCAGGATTAGTTCAAGAGCATATTTGGTGTATTATAGAACAATAGTGCGCTGATCGCAGTGTGCCTTTTAGGAGTTGGCTAGCGAATCATGCGTCATGTCGTAGTTTTAGGTGCTATCTTCTGGACACTGCAGCAAGAAGATTCGAAGAAGGGACAACCATGGCAGCGATTTGATAGGGAACGCGACCTGCAGGCAAGAATTTGTAGACACCACAGTAGCCCCGCTCTGCATTTTTGTCACAGTGTGTGTTTAGAAGGGCGGCTACACAGCATTGTCCCACAGTGCCATTTGTAAGTGGACATTACCTTGATACCGTGCGGCTCTTGGTATTTTGCAGACTGTTCGACAGGTATCACGGGAGGACTACAATAAACTGGTAAGTGGCAGCCGGAGAATAATTATCTGCGAACGCTATACTGAGTGGGTGCCGTCGGACTGAACAAAAATAGTCTCACAGCTGCCATCCTTGCTGCAGGGAGTAACCATTTATCATTGTGCTTTTGTCGTTACGTTCTGTGTCACTTGCAGACCCAACAGGAAAAGTTAAGTGCGCGCTTCAAGTCCTCTTGGCAGACGTCATTTTTATGAAGGCTGTATTTCATTTTCACAGAGCATCGTGTGGAAAGTGGCCAGAATCTAGCTCACAAACATCAACTGGGTTCCATGCTGCTTTGTCTTGCGGAATTGACCCATCTCAGCGTTTTTAGTAGTTTCTAGGTACGAGTTTGGATTCGCTTTCTGAATGTACTTCCTGCGCTTGGCTGTTATCGGTAGATCCCTGTGTAGACACAACGATATTTTCTTTTCCTTTTTAGTATAAGCTATTGATACTGTCAGTTGATGACTTTATTTGGTTTGGGTTTGCGCCTTGCAAGAACCAGACATTTGCCTGATTACTAATTGGCTCCAGAATACACTCCCAGACTCAGTGCTCAAACACCCAGGTCCCCCCAGTGGGACCCGCTGCGGCACACTAACGACGGGTTCGGATCCTTCAGCCTATTCAGCTAAGCAGAAATCATACATTCTAGCAGCACCAACTGCAACGGGGCTGTTCGTTGCCTTAGCTGTTCGTTCGAACCACTGAATCGAAGCGATTATTACCCCAATAGGGCTGAGCGAAGGCTTGTTTTTGTCACCGTTTCTGTGACTGTGCTTGCTTTGACTTTGGCTTGCTACAAGTAGTGGAATCATCTATACTTATTGCGTCCTTAGCAGTTGCCGTTTAGAAGCATGCATATTGCGTGCGTTTGCAGCGGACGAATCATACATTCTAGCAGCACCAACTGCAACGGGGCTGTTCGTTGCCTTAGCTGTTCGTTCGAACCACTGAATCGAAGCGATTATTACCCCAATAGGGCTGAGCGAAGGCTTGTTTTTGTCACCGTTTCTGTGACTGTGCTTGCTTTGACTTTGGCTTGCTACAAGTAGTGGAATCATCTATACTTATTGCGTCCTTAGCAGTTGCCGTTTAGAAGCATGCATATTGCGTGCGTTTGCAGCGGACGAACGATTACGTTTGGCTTTTGTTGCCCCATGTTGACACTTCCTAGCAAGGGCAAAGCAATGCAATTGGGAGATTGCCCACGGCTGCAGATGACCGTACGACGCCACCAGCCAGGTCCAGTCCTCAATTGCTTTGACTTTGGCTTGCTACAAGTAGTGGAATCATCTATACTTATTGCGTCCTTAGCAGTTGCCGTTTAGAAGCATGCATATTGCGTGCGTTTGCAGCGGACGAACGATTACGTTTGGCTTTTGTTGCCCCATGTTGACACTTCCTAGCAAGGGCAAAGCAATGCAATTGGGAGATTGCCCACGGCTGCAGATGACCGTACGACGCCACCAGCCAGGTCCAGTCCTCAATAGGTTCGGCCCACGCCTTCCATGTATACCGAAGGGTAGCTCCTTTCTAATCCCGCTAAGAACACGTCGGGCGAGAAGAGGCTTCTGCATTTCCGGCAGTTTCCTGCCACCGCATCAACCCGCCAGAAAACGTAGAATCGTCGGGGATAGCAGCCGCCGGACGCGCGTGGAACGCCTTATGGGGGCATGATGTTGGTGCTAATGCGGTTCCGGCAGAGCTGGATTTGCTACTCCTCGGTCACCCTGGTAGAGACACGATTGAGAGTTGTTGAGTGGTTGGATGCATGATTGAGGTTCGTACTACCTGGAGGCTTCTGCATTTCCGGCAGTTTCCTGCCACCGCATCAACCCGCCAGAAAACGTAGAATCGTCGGGGATAGCAGCCGCCGGACGCGCGTGGAACGCCTTATGGGGGCATGATGTTGGTGCTAATGCGGTTCCGGCAGAGCTGGATTTGCTACTCCTCGGTCACCCTGGTAGAGACACGATTGAGAGTTGTTGAGTGGTTGGATGCATGATTGAGGTTCGTACTACCTGCTTTAGGGGCGAAGGTTCGTTGTGCCGAATAGTGCTGCAAACATGGGAATTGCAACCTGATTCTCACGCCTGACCTAGTAAAATATAGTTGCTTACACTCGCATTGAATCGGTGCCTTTATATAATGGATGAGATTTCCCGTAGGGCGCCTAGTCATTGCAGCTTTAGATTCACCACTTCCACATACTCTGCAGTAGGTGAAAGAGGCGTGCATAGTGGGCGGCCTGCCTAATGGCTTTTCCAAGTGCAAGAATTGCTGCTTGTGCAAAAGCTAAGCAAACGCCATGTCCTAGAGTGGGTAGTATCTCCTTCCCTCCGGCTAACAACTCTAAGTGGGCATATAAACGTAGGAACAA